TAGATAACAGTCCTGTAACACAAATATCGTAGAGTGACACAAAAGTAAAAACTCTCTGAGAATTGCCCATATGTATATCTTGAACTCGATAAATCTAATTGTCACTAAAGTTAATGGTTTTAGTAAAGTATACAAAAAACTTTTCTTATATGGTTAAAAACTGCAATATTGTCAAGAGATGAAGCATGTGCAACAATTACTGAATATTTGAGTGTATTTGAAAAAAGTTTATTCTTAATTGTTATTCGCAACTACAATTTTGATTCTGTAAAACTATGATAAAAAAACTTATCTTTGCTTTTAAACATTTTCAAGAATATATTTACAAATTTTATGACAAAAACTTTGCCTTGAATATTACAAAAACTTGGTCTTGAATATTTCAGTTTGGCTAAAATAACAAACGCTAGTAAAACCATATTATTCTAAGTAACATGGAAAACAGAGGAAGCATTATTAAACTGTTGCCTTCACTAAGCTAATGATAGGTGTATTGAGTTTAGAAATGTAAAAGAAACTTAGTAATACATAGTATTTCATATGAGAAGATCGTCGATACATTTAAAAATAAAGACACAGGAAATCAAAGCTTCATTGCAATATAAGGCCAATGGAAGGGCAACAGTTATGAAAACTAAAGAACCTATCAGTGAAGTTATAGAATATTCCAATACTGTATTATGAAATATTGAAACGCATCATATTACATTAAAGTAGTGTAACTTCCTTTTAAATTTTTTCTGAATGTAGTACATCAAATGAAACAAAACATATAAATTTAAAAAACTATAACTTTATTGACATTACCTGTAAACTTTTTTGAACTTATAAAAATTTTGAGTAACTAATGTAAAAATATCTTTGATAATTGAAAAATAATTTATAACTTTTCAATTATTTTAATACAATCAATCAGACTTTATAATCATACGTATCACACATACGTCAACATGTAAAATAGCATGGTTGTTTTGTTGTTAGTCATATACGCAGGTAAGACCGACGTTGCCACATCTCCTTTACAATAGTTCTGATTTTCAAAAAAGGTTATCGTGTTTCAACTTTAACTCTTAAAATCTTTGTGAACCTTTCGGTATGCCACGTAAAATATTGTATGATATAATTGCTTAAATAACATACCACCATAGAATATTAATAATTATCTTTTCTCTTGACTTTTTCTACAAAAAAAAACATTAAATTCAGTCATTTACTTCTCTATAAGAATCAATATTATTTTAGGTATTTTCGAATTTTTATTTCTTAGAAATACTTTCCGTAGAATTTATTGAAAAAATCACGTGGGTTCGAAATACATTATGTTCAATGCATTCAAAATAAAAGTTTTCTTAACTTTTGTTTAATCATTGAACACCTTTAAGCTCACCACAAGTGTAAGTTGCACTAGTTCTTATAAATTAGCAAACTCACCTGGTGGCAAACGCGCAACATACAGATGCAAAGCACATAATTCTCTAGAAGGGGGAAATGAACTTAAGCGGGTTACGCGGCATTATCATCAAGGGTGCCTCGCACTACTGCTACTCGCAACCTAATTCGGAAGATAAGATAAGCTCGTAAAATGCATGGTGCGCGATACTACTTCGCGCCGCACGTGTTTTATTGCTGTGTATCTCGCGTCTTCTCTCCGAAGGCTAGAGGAGGGAGGAGAGACTATGCCTCCACCACCCGCGACTCTTAAGATTTATCGTCATGTTCGATAGACCTTGCCAATTACGATACTGCATTTGCTTCCAGATTCGTGTTTTTTATTTTGACAGAATTAGACATTAGTTTACGTAACTTGAGCCAATGGTATCATTGAAAATGAGCTTATGATTCCAAAGTTGATAATTTATATTTTTAAATAATACTGATATAATTATTAAGTCAAGTTACATAGCAATTGTAAGTAATAACTTGAGAATAATTTTAGAAAGTTGAATAAATGTTGAGGCCATACTTAGGTAATCGATTCGATTTATCAATCGTATTGATAAAAAAGCAAAAAAAATTTCTTCATAGTGTCATTAATAATTAAATTATACAAATTGTGCATGTGCATTATAAAATCTGAAATAAACTTAACTTTGAACCATCTATAATTTTAAATGTCAGTAAGAATAAATTTGGAATGCAGTATTAACTAATTTCAGCTTAATTATATTTACGGTTTAAACAGATCATGATTTTGAAAAATGTTGCAAACCTCTCCAAATTTATAAAACTGATTGAACGAAATACAATAACAAAATTGTAATTCTTCGAGACAGCATAATGTTGTTATAGCTTCGCCGCCTTATCTTGTTTTCGTCTTATCTTACCCATCGATTGGACATTTTCATTTACTGCAAGAATTTTGAATAAACATATAGCAGTTCTGCTACCGCATGAAAACGAACATAGGAAAATATATTCTCCCTCATAAATTTGACGATCGTAATCGCGAACTGCATCAGTGGTTCTATTAACTGTCTTATTGGCAATTTGTCGTGTGCATGCGAAGACCTTTATCTTTGAATTTTTCATCTCTCAAAACTGTTTCGATACATACAGTATGATTATGCAATAAAATGTTTGAAAGCATTCCAAATCAACTCTCGCATGCAACGATTGTAAAATCAAACGATAATAGAGCCATCGATCGCACTCATTTAAAATTCGTGGAAAACTGGCAAAAACCGTTTTGGCCCCGCGAATATTTCTCAAATCAGTTTGAAAGCACACAAATCGAAACACATACACATACACACGTCCGCCTCATTATTCCACGAAAAGCGGTGCGTTACTTTCGGGCGCAAAACGATTGCGTCACGTGGCCTCGATTCAACCCGCGCAAGAGAAGCTTCTGTGAATAGCCGGTGGGCGTGTTGCTCATCTCTACAATTTTGCCTCGACGCTCAATGCACGAAAATTATCATTGAATTATAGCCGCACGGCTGCCTTTTTTCATGCTAATTAACATTTATTTATATCGCATACATTTATAGTCGCTATGTATTTACGCTGATCAAACATTAGAAATTTCTTTTTCGTGAATAAAGCAAATCTAACTTAATTAACTCGGTGTATATGTACATTTATGGAAAATTGAAATTGAAACAATTTGCTTTCTGAAAAATAAATTGTTAGCGGAAGCTGCTTATTATTTTATGACATAAGTTCCTGGCTGTACAAATTATGTATTCAACATAGCAATTATGCCCATTTCCCGATTGAGCTGATAAAATTTTCAAATCGTACGAGAAGCTTCCAGGAGCCGCCTAATAAGATTTGTAGGGTCACATTATGTCGATATTATCGATATTCAGTCAGACATTGTTACTCTAATTATTTCAACAAATGATGGTCTCGGCTTTGAAGACCAAATGTTCAAATAACTTTGTCTAACATAACAAGTATTTTACTAATAAAAGTGACTAAAAATAAATTCTTTTTTACAACAGTCGAACTTTTTCTCACGCACTCGAAAAAGAATGTCGCGAACTAGGCAAAAGCATAATAACGACTCTCTAGGCTTGAAATAAAGCTGGTGAAAAAAAGAAGGCAGTATAGGAAGACGAAGCACTCTCATTATATTCGGCTGATTTATGCGCGAGAGGTATGGAGGGAGATTTTTCGGGGCGCGAGAGTAAAAGTTAAAAGAAAAATAAAGCTTATGGGGTATAAAGTTGGAGAGAGAGAGAGAGAGAGAGAGAAGGAGAGAGAGAGGAGAGAGAGAGGAGAGAGAGAGGTGTAGTACGTCACGCACGCGGCACATCGACCGCGAAATTTTCTGCGTTATTACTTGAGATGCTGGATTATTCGGATTTTAAACTTTTGGAAAAGGTTCTCATACTTTGCGAGTAATTTAATAGCCATTCTTTTTTTTTTTTTAGCGTTAACTTATGGCTTAGCTTGGCTTTTGAGTTTGGGAATGTAATTATTGATGTGTAAGTACATCAACAATAAACCTAAATACAAATTTTGATCTAAAAATATTACAATTACTAATGTGAAATGAAGTTTTTTTAATCCCTATCAATATAATTTTTTTATTTAATAAAACCTAGATACCAATACTTCAATTAAGTATATCTATCGTAGATCTGTCAATCAATTTTAATTCATAAATTACGTTATTTTGAAAAATGACAAAATTACAATTATCTATTTAAAAAAAATGAATATTTTTATCTAACGATAAAAAAATCTACCGCAACCCCGAAATATCAGGATAAACATTCAACTGGAGAAGCACGGCAAAAGTTCCTCATAGAAAACCAACCTGTAACAGTCGTGTAATCCATATAGAATACAAAGTAAAAAAAACGAAAATATACAATATGCGTCTAGACTTTTTTACGCATAAAATAATAAGAGTCTCCAACATAAAAAAAAGAAAACATACGTCCACTCAAAATAAAAAGCGTACATGAAAACGCGTTTAGCGTGAACACACAAGCAAGCTCGAGAAAAAGTTCGGGTGCAGGCTACATATCATTTGAAGTCGCGCTTATAATTGTTTGAGCGCGCTAGTACTTGTCTTTTGTAACTTTCTGCTGGAGGCTTCTTTTCGTGTGTGCAGCATTACGGAGAAATGGCTTTAAGTTTTCGGCAAACAAACATACACTGTTTGATGTGAACTGCATTTTCAGGAAGCTGAGTTATTCTGTTTCTTTTTTTTTCTTTTGCTTCTTGTTTATTTGGCCTTTTGACTGTGTGCCACTTGTGAAGCACGCAAGTCTCAAGTACGTATGAATTAATCTCGGCTTTGTTTAAACACTCCTAAAACCTTTTTTGGCATGCTGTCGTTGTTGAAAGATGCTTTATTTGAATAAATATATAACTCTGGTAATATTTCACCGATGAGTTTTTATACATAAAATACAGTAACAAAGTGAAAATTATTTAATAAAATTTGATGTCTCCATCTATACGTCATTTATAATCGGATTGAATACAACGCATGAAAAGTGAATTGACGATAAAAGCTAATGACCAAAACTTGTTGATTACAGGGGCACATCGGCGAGAGCCCATTCGACAGCGGCTCCTGGGGAAAAGATCACTTTCAGCCGACTACTGTACCCTGGCAGGCGAACCTGCGCGGTAACGGCCGAACAAACGTAAGTGATTCTTTCAAACCATGTCCTTTTTAACTTGAATACAAAAGATTTTGATAACTCAAGTTACGAAATACAATTCTCTTGTAAATCTTTCTTGATTATTCGAAGATCTTCTATTAGCGAATTTTTAAGTTCTCAAATAACATAATAATATGAACATTTTATGCACGAAAACCAGCGTAAGCACATATAGTAAGGCAATCGATGGCGCGGCAATAATTCAGCGTAGCCTTAATGAAGAGCCGCAGTATCCGAGGCGTACATCCCGAGCGTTAAAAGAATACCTATTTTTTGTGCCCTCGACCACCATACCGCAGATGCGAATCTAAGGCCGATAAAGAGCGGTGCGGTCATCCGGGGCATTTAATCCCGTTTAATAGACTGTAAACGTTTGCGCGCGTGAGAGACTGAGCAGGAATTTAATGGACAACTGATACTAATCCCCTGGGCACTTAACTCCCGTTTCGCTGTGGCCATAATCGTGATATTGCCTTTATCAAGTTGTCTTTGCTCGATTCATGGATGCGTTTATGTCAAACTCCTAATGCGGTTTCGGTATTGTATGAATAAAGTAGGTCAGCTATGTTGATGTTTTGGTTGTATTATTGATTTTTGCAGTTCTTTAACAAATTATAGCTATGGAAATCAATAATGACCAATTTTTACTCTGCTAAATAATTATGCACTCTTTCCTGAACTTTTCAAAACTTGATCGGATAAATAATTTTTATATAGGACCAATTTTTGGCAACCTGAAATGATTACTAGATCTATTAAGTTATAAATAATATACTATTTTTTAAATTAATAAAAAAAATAAAAAATAAATACACTTTAATTAGAAGCGATGCAGATCACAAAAACGTATCAGTCGAAGTGATAATGCTAAAACTTAACGTTAATTACCACCATCGCAAAAGGAGAACCAGCACCAGTAGTCGAGGTCAATACGGTATAGCTTTCATTTCTTTGTCGCTCTCTCGCGCCATTTTTCTCTTTAAGAGTTTCCTCGGGTCCACGGTCCGGAGCTTCTAAATCACCGTTAATAATAAAAGTGGCAGAGGCTATCACGATGAGAATAAGAAAAAAGATAAGAATAGAAGTTGCAGGATGATATTTGTTGAAAATTCCGGTCTTGCAAAAAACCGCCTCGGAAGGTAAAAGGGAACCTTCCCTCAAGTACTTTATTAAATTTCATTGCTGGAGCTGGCGATTCCTGGATACGTTGAGATTGAAGTGTAGAATAAAATACTCACAATTAATAACGATTGTATTTTATTAGTTTGTGTATTTGTAAACTCTTACGATTGTGATTTGATTTAAATTTTGGCTGGTTTTATGTATACTAGATTTTTCTCCATGAATGTTATGAGTGGCGTATTTGTCGATTATTTGAGCAATATTTGGGAAAAAGTAGTATGATGGAACTCATAAGGAGCAACGTCTGTTGCTTAAAATGAGTAATATTTTCCTTGAAACGAGTACGTTTTGTAGTGTTCATAACTCAATTTGATTAAAGCTTTTTAGAATGTAGATTAAAAAATGCAATAATCGAGTCCATTTCATTTAAAAACCACATCTCGCTTTATTGGCTATTTATCAAAACCCACTTTGGCTCTCTCGAAGACAGCATTATTTTCCACGATGAGAAGGCGCAGGAGTATATAAGTTATACATAGCACACGCAGGTTTTATTTTGATTTCATTACAAGGCGGAATCGCGTGGGCGCGCGTAGGGCGCTTGCCGACGTTTACATTATATACAACGCCAACCGCGCCACAGTGAGTTTATAATTTGCTGTTTTGTTGGATTAGTTTTCCTTAAGGAAGCGGCCCTCGTCGTCACGGTTTTGTTATAACTGAAGTTTTGTCCCGAATACTCATTTTCTCCTCCGATGAACTTTGATAAGCTAATTCTAAACTATATGTATCTTTGATAGAATTTCTTGAAAATAAACAAAACTTTCCAACAGTGCATTTATTTTCATAATGTGTTTTTTTCTTTTGATAATCGTCCAATTCAATTTTCAATATAAAATCGGCTATACGTGCTTATCTGCATATTGGAAACTTTCGAATTATTTACATAATCATAACAATTCGACGAAATAAAACAGACATTGGAAATCAATTTTGCATTCATGTTATTATTCATCGCACGTATAGAGCATTACTTTGATCACGAATTGCATTATTACGATATTATGATTTAATACAAAAATTATGCGGTTTAATCAAATTTGTATTCGGTTTCGATGTTCGTGTTTATCAAATATCAGTGGTTATTGATTTTTGTACACGTTTCAATGTGAATGTTCATGTAATTAAATTTCTGTTGCTTATTTGAATTATTACTATTAATTCACATATTAAAGTGATTAGACTTTTCTATAATTCGACTGTATTTACACTACAACTGACAAATTACAAAAATTCAATATCAAAACCATTATTAAATATTAGGGCAGCTTTCTTCTGCTAAGCTTCTTTTGAATTTTATTATATTATAATCTCGTAGGTTGAATGTTTCTGGAAATCTTCACAATCACAGAAATTTTCCGTAACATCATAACTTTAATCAATTGCTTGCAAACTAATAAGTTGTTGCAAATAATTTACCGTAACAACTGCTCATTCCGGTCTAAACAACAAATATTCTACTGTAATTTTTCTATCAGTCTTTACTTGTTTTTGCGTATTTTTTAAATTAATATATGCGGTTATTTAATTTTTATTGAAATTTCACACTGTATTTGAATACTCGAACTGTTTATTATAGGCAATTTTTTGCTCAGACCTGGACGCTCGTAATGAACCTATAACTATTGTTCCTTCTAAATTCTTTACATTATTGAAAGAGTACTCAAGATTTTACATTTTTCATGACAGAGTGATAGTGGCGTACCAGTTTTCAAAAGCAATGTTGTTTCGGGAATGAATAAGAGAACCTGCCCTTTCAATTTTACTTGCGATTTTTCTGAACACGTTATTAATGGTTATAAGATAAATCTGCACACTAAAATTGATCATTAAAGAACATTTATTACTAACATCTATTGAATAGAAACAAATTATTTTGCAAGGAAGAAGACATTCTCGAATAAAATAAAATTCTGTTACAACTGTTTGATCTCATAGAAGCTGTTTAAATATTCTGCATCCACGTGTTATTGGATTGCGTACGTAATCATAATAGAGAAGTAACAATTGAAAAGCTACACTCCTAGCCGCACAAAACACGATGGAACACAAATAGTATTCACATTTCCATCAGCGACTCCTCAAGTTGCTCCAATGTTTACATGACGACAGTATACCACGTACGTGTGCGCGCGCGATACTCGGCCAACAGCAGAGAGACAAGTACATTATCGCTTTTAGCAAAAAACGCTGACGAATGCACACGTGCACCATCGAATATACACTCGAGGCGCCTTCCTTACACGTGTGCGCTCGGCAAGTCTTTTTCCAAACTATCAGCCAAAGTATGTTATGATACGTGAAACTGTCCGGAATTATTTTCTTTTTGCAATAAAAAAAAAAAAGAAGATCAAAGACAAAGAGTAAATGGACAGCTACTTCGTGCACACAAATTCCTCGTGAGTTTACCTAGTCACTTATGCAGAGCGCGACACCTCGAAAAGGAAGAAAGAAGGTAGGAGGCTCATTTCCTCTTGGGAGAGGAAGAGAGGAATCATTGCTACGACGGCTAGGAGTCGAAGCACGCGCGCGCGCGCCACTCACTGCACTGCGCAAAGATATCCTAAAGGAGGAAAAAGCTATAGTGTATATATATATAATCCCTCCTGATTACCCAACTTTTTATCTAATTATGTTACGCTGTTAGCCATTTACAGAAAAGTCGCCAACTTGATACCTAAAGCACAAGACTCGACTCCGTAATTGCAGATTGCGATTAGCTTGACGATCGCTGGGACACGGATTTTTATTACAAATTGCTATAATCAACTTTTGTGATAAACATATCTATATAAATATTTAAAAACAATTTTATAAAAAGTTCTTTCGGAATCTAATACTTTCGTGTGATCAAATTGAATCTATAAAGTAGTTTATGATCGTACGCAAGTACGCACACAACGATTTGTGCAATCAATTGATATTACATAGATTATGAACAAATTATAAACAATTTGATCTATTTCCTAAGTCGAAAGTCTAAATGTAAAGAAAAAAACAAAAGTAATCCATCGTCTAACAAACAAAAGAAAGGTAGACACGCAGATCTCGAATGCTTATTATTTGCAGAAGAGCTAGAATAAATTGAATCCCGGGGCTTATCGGTAGACGGGCGTCGTCGTTGTCGAGGGCCCAGACATTAAGACGTCTGGGCTTCGACCTCGCGAGTTTCTCTCTCTTTTGCGTGCGCGACAAGTATATACTACACCCTCGTCGCGTCCCCAAAATTTCTACGTGACTCTACGTATCTTCTCTTTATTATTTTGTAATTGCGGCCGGGCGACGCGTCAGACTCTCTCTCTCTTTCTCTCCCTCTCTCTCTCTCTCTTTCTCTCTCTCTCTCTCTTTTGAGTTGCGATTAATTCATGAAGATGATGCCCCTTTCCTTGCTACTGTAGCTAATGCCTTTTCTCCGAAATGAACTTGCAGCTTGCACATCAATTTCTAAGATTTTTCAGGTGCTAGACAGGTGTTATGTTGGAATGTCAGCTTTTGAAAGATTTAAATAGAGGGGATAGGTATTTTTGAATCGCATTGCTTAAAATGGTGATGAGGTTCTTTTGTGGGGGGTTTGTAGGAAATTTTAGAGGATAAAGAATAGAAAGATATATCGACCGCGACCGTATTACATTACGTCTTTAGTCGTGTTTTTTTATTGAATAAGAGGAATATTTCTTATTGATAACTAAAAAATAAACGAATGAATTTCCTTTGACGAGTATACTATAATTTGAAATTGTGATTCTTTTCAAATTTCAGGAATATATTTGAATACCTTTGTTTTGTGTCGTATTTCATGC